AAGGAAAAGGCAGAAAAACTGCTCTTTGCATCCGTATAAAACAATGTCGGATGGATTAACAGTGTTGTCCAAACTTGGCCACTTTAAGATGAGTGGACTTCAACTCCCAGAATTCCCCAGCCAGCCATGGTCCACTCATCTTAAAGTGGCCAAGTTTGGACAACACTGTTAATCCATCCGACATTGTTTTATACGGATGCAAAGAGCAGTTTTTCTGCCTTTTCCTTAGCCGACCAACTGGAAGGAAATAGTGAACAAGAAGCTGAAGTTTCCCGAAGGCCTCCTCAGTGCCATTCAAGATGGGCAGCTGGCGAAGATCCAGCAGCTGCTGCACGTGAGTGACGGGATCCTGCGGCAGCTGGACGATGCTGAAGACCGGGCCTGGCGAGAGGCTCTCAACCTGGCCATCCGCACCGGCGGGGCTGAGATGACCAGGACGTTGCTACGCTTTGTGAAGTTTGATTTCCGGCAGGTCCACGAGGCCCTGCTGGTGGCTGTGGACACCAACCAGCCCAATGTGGTCAAGCAGCTCCTGGATAGGCTCGACCAAGAGAAGGGCCTCAAGATGGACATCAAATCCTTCTCCATGGCCTTCTTCGATAACTCGATTGACAACTCTCGCTTTGCCCCTGGCGTGACCCCCCTCACCTTGGCTTGCGAGAAGGATCTCTACGAAATTGTGGACATGCTGATGAAGAAGGGCCACACCATTTCCCGGCCACACAAGGTCTCCTGCGCTTGCCTGGAGTGCTCCAACGGGCGTAAATTTGACCTGCTCAAGTTCTCGCTTTCCCGGATCAACACCTACAAAGGCATCGCCAGCCGGGCCTACCTCAGCATCGCCAGCGAGGATCCCATGCTGACTGCCTTCAAGCTCAGCCGGGAGCTCAAGTGGCTGTCCAAGAAGGAGCCCGAGTTCAAGGTCTGCCTTTGCGGGGGCTGCAGGGGGAGCGTGGGAAGGGCTGAGGCATCGGTCCTCTTCTTTCGCCTGCCTCTGCCTCGTTCTTCTTCTGCCTTTCAAGGGGATGAAAGACATCAGAAGGCTCAAGACCGTGGACACGAAGGGGGCCGTTTGAGCCATCGTGTCCAACGGCCTGGAGATTTACGGAGGCCGATTCGGGCCCCTCCCCCTTTGGCTCTTGAGGCTCCAGGAAGTGGCACTGCCCAAGGGACGTTTGCCGCTTCCCACCAGTGACCAGAGTCTGGCCCAGTTGGCTTTCCAAGGCTTCAGGATTGTGAACCTGAGACCACGTTTTAAATTTGAAATGTGGGGGACGGAGGCGGAAGCCTCCTTCTGCAAAAGGTCTTGCGGCTGACTGCAGAGCTGTGGCCCTGCCCCTGAGCAGACCCACTTTCTTTTGTGCTTTTGCCTGAAGTAGGCTCTAAAAGAGAGCGTCTGCGCCAGAGGCTTCATCCTCTGGCAGGTTCGTGATACGCAAATAGCTACCCAAGATCTCCACCTGATTTTGGGCTTGCAGCAAGCTGTTCTTCTGCTTTTCCCTCAAATCATTTGGTGGTTCGGTGATATTTAAAGACGGCCAGTTTGATGTAGTGATGAAGGCACCAGGCTAGAAACCGGGAAGAAGTGAGTTCATCCTGCCTTGGATAGGAAGCCAGCTGGGTGACCCTGGGCCAGTCCCTCTCCCTCCGCCCTGGGAAGAAGAAGGCCGGGGCAAGCCACTTCCAAAAAACCTTGCCAAGAAAACTGCAGGGACCTGTCCAGGCACTCACCAGGAGTCAACACTGACTCAAAGGCACCCAAAAGAAAAAACAATATTCAAAGGGGAGTAGCGGGAAGGGTGGTTTTGGCTGCAGAGGAGGTATTTTGCTCAGCAGCTTCTGTTTGCCTAGAGTTTTGCTGCTCCTCCTTTGTCCCTTACCTTCTCCTTTTGGGGGCAAAGCCAAGGGACCCCAGCAGCCCCACCCTTCCTCCTGCTGATGTCCGGCAGCAGCAGAACTGTGGGGAGAGCAGGGGGTGTCTCCGGAGGCCTTCACAAGCCCCTTCTCCGTCTCCTCTGATCCAGCCAGATTACTTGGCGCTGGAGCAACTGTGCCAGGAGTTTGCCTTTGAGCTCCTGGGCATGTGCCGCAACCAGAGCGAGGTGACGGCTATCCTGAATGAGCTGGGGGACGATGCTGTTGACGAAGACGATGACGCCGTGGACGACCAGGCCTTCGAGGAGGGGATTCCCAACTTGGCGAGGCTCCGTCTGGCAGTCAACTACAACCAGAAACGGGTGAGACCGCTGAAGAGCAGGCGGTGGCAGGCGGGCAAGCAGCCTGGGGCAGGTCTGCGAGGAGGGAAGAGCGAGAGGCCCCGGGCCCTTAGGAAAGCGAGGCCCCAGGATCTGTGCCCTTGCAAAAGGGTGATTTGAAACACGGCTGGGCAGCCTTCCTTTCATCCATGACACGGTTGCATGGGAGTGTGACACACAATAGACACGTGTGTGTCTGCGTGCGTGTGTGGTAATCCCATGTAACGGGGTCAGGGACGGATGGAAGAGGCCTGGCCATAATGTCCAGGAAAAGGGCTCCTTGTGGGTGGTGTCCGGTGGGAAGGGCTAATGTGCTCGGCACTCTGTTCTCAGCACCACATGGAGGAGATGTTGAAAGAGCTCTTCTGGCATGGACAGGGAAGCTCCCCTCAGGCCCCCCCGCCCAATCTCACTTAAAGCAGGTCGCAATGGAACGATCAGCTTCAATCCTGCTGATCCTGCCAGTTCCGTCATTCCAGAAATTGGTGTCGTCCAATGAAAGCAACCGGCGCCGGATCCAGGGCAAAAACGCCGTTCCTCTGGGGCACTTGCCACTTGCTCCGGTGCTGTGAAAGGGGTATCGGCGAATTCAGGGATGGTCCCAAGATACTATTGGTCATCATGAAGTCCATAGTGCGGGGTTCCTTCCTGCCCGTGAGTTTCTGGAGGCTTTGGGCTGAACCTGATGCTGGACCTGACTCTGCTTCTGTCCTTCTTCCCTCCCCGCTCAGTTTGTTGCTCACCCCATCTGCCAGCAAGTCCTGTCGTCCATCTGGTGTGGGAGCCTCCCCAGCTGGCGGGGCAGCAAAAGCCTCTGGAAGGTGTTCGTTTCCTGCTCCATCTTCCTAGCCATGCCCTTCTTGTGTCTGACCTACTGGTTTGCCCCCAAATCCAAGGTGGGTTCCTGGCCCCCACACTGGGCCAGTCAGCGCGTATGCGTGGCGATGGGGGCGGGCAGAGATGACCGTCTGCTAAC